CAAGACTAATCGACCTACAATAAAATAAAATCATATGAAACTTAATCAAAAATACCTAAAAAAAAATTTCAGTAGGTACTGGACACGAAGTCACCATTTCACTAATAGCAGATTTACTCTTTAATAAGTACAGCAGTGAGTCAAGAAATTTGTCAGTTAAGTAACTAGTAGTAAGTTGCAAGTAGCGTCCAAACGTAGGCCAGTTAAGTTCTCACAAGTTGCCATTCCGAGAAGAAAGTAGACGTGTTGATAAGTTAAATAAAACAAATACGCTCTCATTAACGCATTTAAAATTATTATTATTATTACATAAAAAAATAGCAGAATTGAGGCCCTGGACTCGGCAAAAAATTTGATCGCAATCTATTCAATTCAGTCAATAGCTTATAGAAAATAGAGAGATATAAATAACCACAATGCAAGTTAACTCGCTACTGCACCTTTTGAAGTTTAAATCGGACATAACCACGACTGGTCTATCAATGAGCTGCAGAGACTTGTGGACGCGTAAACTGAAATTTTGTACACACTTTCAACAAGTTTTGTACAAAGAAATAATAAATAAACTGCAATTACTAATGAATGAAGTATATTATAATGTAAGGGTAATAAATTCCGTCTTGGAACTGAAGCATTTCTGGGCCAAATATGACAAAAATATGAGAAAAAAAATTGAAAGATAGGAAGAATTTGAAATGTAGTATTTGAGAGACAATGAATAAGTTGGATGGAAAGAAAGACCAATGAAAAGGTGCTAATAATGGAGAAAGAAAAAAGAACCCTGCTCTATACCATAAAGTAGGTACAGAAGGGTAATGGGATGTTTTTTATGACACGACAGGAACCGACTACAAACTTTAAAAAAGTAATAAATAATACTTATCTCAAAAACGACTTATTGAAGAAACTCGATGAAATCATTAAACATATTGCCACCTCCTTTTCGATTTTGACGTAGGTTAAAAAAAGTCAAACCTGGGCGCACCTACTTTGAACAAGTATGTGTGTGTCGTACTAAGAAGTCAAGTTGATCGCCGAAGATATGAAACTCCACCGACATGAGTATCACTATTCTATAGACGAGATAACAATGCATATTTGTTTCTATCCCCACTATCTCATATTAAATTGGACTTAAATATTATATATATCACTGCACGTTTATGCTATCTTCACTTTCCATTCCCGTTATCTATTGTTTCCAGATGTATACTTACCGACAACACCAGATCCGTTTAATGAGGACTTGGTAAGGGTCTTATATAGAAGATTCGTTTAATAATAATCATCGCAATAGAATTCTAACAATTTTCTTTTAATTTTCAGTACATATTTTATAATAAGCGCCGTAGTCATAGTGTGAGATTTAGCAACAGTTGGCTTTGAGTCTATGGTTTGTAAAGTTAAGGCTTGAACATTTATGGCATGTAAAATTAGTAGAATCTTGGCACTACAAAAGATATGAAAACTTAACGGAGTCAGCTATATGGTGTGGTCTTGGCAACATTTTACATGAAAATGGTTTGATGAGATTTTACTTATTATATTCTATTCAATTAAAAAAACAGGCCCATAGCGAGGCCCGAGAGTTCTGTAGAAATATTAAATTTTAAGATCTGCGTATAGGTACACCTATCTTACCACTATAATTTATTTCAGCACCAAATAAATTTGTTTTTCGTAGTGTTCATATGGCATAGTATTGTATCATATGCGGTTTTCCGAAATGTGCTATCTCTCCGACTATAATACCTTTCAAATCAATTTTCGTAGTAAATGTACATTGTGATGCATTCGACGACAATATCGAGGATGTTTATAACCGAATAGAGAATACTATAAATATAGTATACTCGGAAAACGTTAGCTTTCTGCAATCAAATTTAAAGTTAATAGGTCAAGTGCTGTTATGTTTACGTCATCTTAGACGATAAATCGCAAATTTTAGGCATTAATGATAAATGTTATCTGTTACACGTATAAAGTATTGTATAAAATATTCATACTGGGTATAAACCCCAATAAAACTTTTATACTTGAATCAATCTCTTAAATATAAGTACATAAAATATCCTTAATGAAAAATGCTTTAAAAATCCACTTGGTCCCTGGGACCCTGTCATGGTGATCGAACCCATGACCTTTAGCAATCCGGGCGACTGCTCTAACCGCTGAGCTACCAGGAGCTAACATGACTGACGAATCTTTCCAGCACTTTTTACTTATGTTCGCGTATTTCTTTCAGAGCTGCATTCTCGGCGATGGTTCCACCCAAACAGCCTTTGGAAAAGGACGATATTTTTACAAATATTGAAACTTTCGATAAAGATCAAAATTTGATGCCTAAGGTCAGGGGGGTTCGATCCCCATCTCAGGTTGCCAGGAACCAAGTGGATTTTATAACAAATATAATAAGTACCTAAACTTTAAGCAAAGTACTTTTATAGCCTCATATTTTCATAGTTCTCGTATTAATCACCATTCATTGACATATCCTGCAGTGCATTTCTGTTATAAAGACGTTCTCGAACTGGACGTCTAGCGCGGAGCTATCAAGCGAAGAGGTTCAATCAAATAAAAATTAAAATACTCGACTGTCAAAATCGAACGAAAAATAAAACCAGAAGTTGTATTATGGGTACGCTAAACAAAAATCTCATTGCAGACGGAGGACGTCTTAGATTACAAATGTTCCACAGAACAATTGTTTAGCCTAGTCATAATATAATTTGCTACTTTTATTTTTAGTGCAGAGTTTTTTAATTTTGAATTTATCTATTTTTTTGTTTTTAGTGACCAGTACATGTATACAAAGTATTTAATGCTATAATTAAATAAATAATATGTCTCATATTTTTTAAATAACGTCATAACATCCGCCATATTGAATATTTAAAAAAAGCCAGTATTACTCGGGATGCTGTGAGATTTCTAATGATACATTTACATGCATTAAGTCTTTCTACACTTGTGGTGCAATAAAGAACCCTAAACACAATACACTCCTTTTTTGGGCAATCGTGAAAAAACCTACTTCCAAAAGCAAGAATTGATAATAATAATAATTTTGTCTATATTTAAACATTAATGTAGAACTTAATTTAGTGCTCTGCATTTGTAAACTGAAAACAGGTTATATTAGGTAATATTCTAAATGGGTAAAGCTAGTTTTAATGATCCGATCATGAAAATTCTTTCACCTACGGTAAGCTCATCATACGCGGGTGACATAAGCTATTTTACGCAAGCGAAGTAACAAAAAAACAGGTGTATTTTATGAACGCATTTTGAAAACGTTTCAATTTAATATCAAATTAATATAATAGGAGAAGTCGCTTGGCACTATGGACGTGTTTTCATGGAAGTCAAGGGTAACAAGTGTTACTCTTGTATTGCGTCGTCGATAATGTAACTTGGAACAACAACGATCGTAAAGTATTATGAGTATAATATTTGAACCGTTTTGTGGTTATAAAAAGTAACTAAACTATATTATTTAATTAACTACTTGACAGTTAATACAATAAATTATCAAATAAGTAGGTATGTTGAAAATGCCAATATTTCATTTCTTTTTTTAAATTAACTTGCAGAATATATGTGGATTACAAGAACCGAAACTCGGGCGGCCATGAGGAAGCATCGTGTGACGTCACATTTCAATATAATAAACGTCAACGTATTTGTTGCGAGTGTACTCATGTTTATTGAAAAGTGATGTCACAGCTCGATATGTAACGTGACAAATTAATGAATAAAACTATGTTTTCCTTTATTCAATAACACTTTTGGAGAAAATAAACCTGATAATGGTTTAATATGATCATATGATTTTAAAATACTATTCAAAAAACACTTAAGTTGCCATTACAAATTGCCACACTGTAAATCTCAGGGATATACTCATCTGCACGTCAGATTACAACAATCCGTCGAAGTTAAAATAAAGTAGTGTAATTTGACAGATATATAAAACCGACATACTGTCTGCTTTTACTATGGTACCCACTGTTGATTACACAAACACAAATCTAAATAGTTTCTCTACTTATATATAATATTAGTAAGATAACCTAACACCAAACATTAACATTCATTCACAACCACGCGTTGTAGTTGCTTATAGAGATAAATATTGATATAAAAAAAGGTCCTATCTTTAAGCTAAACCAAATTAAAGATACGTGTGACATTCGATTAAATTAAAAACCTGTTCAATAAGTTTATCAATGAGATACATCGTTACACGAGATTTTTATTAATGTACGATAACAAATAATTATACCTACAAATACTACATGGTTTATAAACGATTTGCTGACATATTAAGAATGTCTGCCCAGCTCGCGTAATAAATACAATATTAACATCAGTGTATGATTATAAAGCTGAGGTGTGGTCCTCCTGGATGTTTAATACAAATGGAAGACTAAAGAGAAAATTGGAAACTTTTTTCCTTCGAACTAGCTGTTCTTAGCCCTGGTATCAAATTTTGCGTACTAATTAGCAACCACACAGATGAGCATCCACTATTATAGGGTTGTTGTAACTGTTTGCGAGAAATACGTCATAAGTCATAATTAAAATTATATATGATTTGATCATAACGATATGTTTTATTGATATATCCTTTATTGCATCCAAAATATTCCTACTTTTCCCGTATTTGCAATATTTATAAGTTAGTAAATTAATCTTGTATACAAGCCCACTCAAAACTGTACACTATATTTCTCTTATAGAAAATTAGATCGAAAAAATAGGTAGTGCCCTTGCTCTTCGTTTGCCTTTTGGCACGTCTTTAGTAGACCACTACCGTGACCCGAGATTATTATCACACGGGTAACTCTGTAGAGCAATTACCCGAATTGCAAAAGGTTTGGGGTTTGAATCCAGACACTTAAAACAGGAGAATTTTTAACTGTAACGACCAAATCAAATAGCCAATCTATTTTAGTTTTCACTGAAGTATTTTGATTAGTTTCTCTTTTTTTTTTCAGAGATACCTTGGAAAAAGAACAAACAAGAGACGAGCGCAAAAGATATCGTCATCCTGAACGAAGCATGTGGAGCAATAAGGCCGGGCCGACTCACATATATAATAGGCCCATCCGGAGCTGGTAAAACTACCCTAATGAAAATATTATCGGGAAGAAAGTAAGTTGTTCACTTATACATCCACAATACTATTAATATAGCGTCACAGTACTATTCTCTAAAAATAAATAATATTCATTAAAAATATAGCGTTGAATACAGCACTGTAATCTACTTCAAAGGTCAATAAAGGTTTAGTTGATTAAAACTCCAATACTGCGACAGCGCTGTTCGATGCTAGGTTTCGCAGAATAGCAAAGTTAACCTCGTAGCTCAAAATCTAACTTACTCCTTGCTTCTATATAAAAAAAAAAACTGAAAATTCTTATACATCTACAACTGTTTATTAGTAATCATGAATTGAACGCATGGCTGCATATCAGGCTACTGTTATTTTAATTTTTTTCGAACTCTACCAACAATGCATTAACGTTTAAAATCAACTAGAAATTTAACACATATTGTTGCATATTTTTTCCAATTTCTATACAAGCCTACTTTACCCACATACTCTAAAAATAATAATGATGCACCTTCTTACAAATGTAGGATCTATTTTTTTTCTATGTTTGTTCTATGAGATCATTTTGCATAGGCTGCAAAATGATTTTATCGATAAATTAGAACAAGTTTTCTCTCTAAAACATTTCCATTGGCAAACGTCATTTCTGCAATAAGATGTCGGGCGGGTGGAGATCGAGGCATCTGTAGGTTGTTTAATAATAGCTGCCCAAGTTCAATAGCATTTTCTTGAATAAATAAATTACTTATCATTTTTTTAACGTTAGAAGTCGGATCAATTTTTTTTATTTTTATTTCATTCACACAAAAAAATATTAAAGATATATAAATAGAAATATTCAACATAATGAAAGAAAAGAAGATTTTGTTAATTGCTTGGCATACTTTTTTCTAATAATTCTATGATAATATTATAAAAAGGAAAGATTGGTTCATTTGTTTGTTTGCATTGGATAGGCTCCAATACTTTTATACCGATGAAAGTCTTTCGTCTATGGGAAGCTACTTAATACCCATTGGACATAGGCTATAACTTACGCATGCGAAGTCGTAGGGAAACAGCTAGTTTAATAGAAGTTGGTTCACAATTCAAGAAGAAACCGATTAACATACCTACTTTCATAAAAAATATACATACTCCTTGAACATAGAAAGTTGACCTTACAGATTGGGAATGAATTCCAAATACGCAATCTTTTGTTTTTTTTTAGCTGGAAAAGTCTTGCCATATCGACTAAAAATACTCGAGTGATATTTGGTGAAAAGCATATTTTTTGTTATAAAAGTAAAACTACTGATTCGATTTCGATAAAATATAAATGGGACCACCTCAATCCATTAGGCTGTCGAATTGAATGTTGAAAATCAGTTAACAATTGGCAGAAATATCGATGAACATACATAAAAAAATATATATCGCCGTCGAACATATAACCTCCTTCTTTTAAATTTTAAAGTCCGTTAAAAATTATAGATACCTGAGTAAGCTAAGCTACAATTAACTTACATTTAAACTTGACTGAGGCAATTATAACATTTTTAGTGTATTACTGCAGGAAAAGCGGCGTAAAAGGTGCCATGTACGGTGCTGGTAGGAGTGCTGTGCTCGTGGACCAGCACGCAACTCTTATTGACACGTTAACTGCAAACGAAACTCTGGAGTTTGCGGCTAGACTTAAACTACCTAACATCCCGTGGAGGGAAAGAAGGCAACTGGTAATCTCATTGTTGATGTTCGTATGGGAAACTTATTTAGACCCCAAGAGGTCGGTAATAGACTTTGCATACTGTTACTCCACATGAATCTACAAAATTTTAGTGTTATAGTCGACAAAGAGACAGCATAATGAAATTGGCGATAAAAACACCCTAATTTAAGTACACCGGAGACTTCTTTAGTAAAGAGTGACTGGATATGCCTGTCACTCTTCTTCCACGAGGCTTCAGCAAACGCATAAGTAATTTATAGAATGATAACCAAGGCATCAATTCCGTGGTATATCGATAAAGAAACAACGATGTATACATCTCGCTTACATCGTTGAACTTAAAAAGGAATACCAATATTACCATACAATACTCCATTGAATTAATTGTGGTACTGCATTGGAAATAGAAGTAACATAAGGAGTGTTCATATGCATACAAATATTAATGATTTTATAACTAGACTGCACGTCAAGCTATGTTTAACTTCTGCAATTGATTTTCAACTCTAAGTTCAATAGAGAAATTACAGTTTTGTATTAATTGACATGCTGTTGACTATAATAGTAGGTATTACTTAGGGTAATTGAATGTTTTCAATATTAACTAAATACGAGGGTCAAACTGAAAGTTCTTAGAAAATCAAAAACTGATTACATTAGCCAGTTATTAGTTTTATTATATCTTTTCAAAATATTGTCCATTCACGTCAATACACCGCTGCATGCGATGGAACCACTGGGAAAAGCACTTTGCCCACTCGTCCTTAGGGGTCTCTTCAATGGCATCGCGATACGCAGCCACCGCTTCTTCAGCATTCATAAACCGCTTTCCTTTAAGTTTTTCTTTAATTTTTGGAAATAAATAAAAATCACAAGGCGCGAGGTCGGGGCTATACGGCGGGTGACCCAGTAATTCAACGTTTGATGTCGCCAATTAGTCGATCGTTCGCTTGGCGGTGTGCGACGAGGCGTTGTCGTGGTGAAGGAGGATCCTACTGCGAGGTCGTTTCTCTCGAACTTTTTCCAAGACAAGTGGCAAACAATTGGTAGTGTACCATTCTGCAGAAACTGTTTTTTGATCCTCTAACACAATTGTTGCAAAATGACCTATCCTTCCAAAGAACGAGGCCACCATTTTTTTTCCCGCACTTCGATCTCTCTTCACTTTAGTTGGCAACTCCTCGAAAGGAAACACCCACTGAGCAGATTGTCTTTTGGTTTTAGGATCATAACAGTAAATCCAGCTTTCGTCACCTGTTAGTATGTCGAACACAGCATTTGAGTCACCTCCGTTAAATCTTTCAATCATTTTACGACACCAATCCACACGATGGAGTTTTTGAGCCTCAGTCAAATTATGAGGTATCCACCGGGCGCAAAGCTTCCTGACCGCTAAATGTTCGTGGAGGATTTTGTGCACTTGACTCATACCGATGCCTAAGCTTGTCCGAATCTGTTGATAGGTCACTCTTTTGTCAGTCTCTATCATACGCCGCACAACACAGATGTTATCTTCAGTCGTCGCCGTAGAAGGCCGTCCCTCACGTAAATCATCAGTGAGATTAGTGCGACCACGTTTAAACTCATTAAACCAGTTGTAAACAGTCGCACGAGATGGGGCTTCATCGTGAAAGGCCAATCGTAGTCTATCATAACTTTCTTGTTGACTTAAATGACATCGAAAGTCATAAAAAATCATTGCACGAAAATTTTCTCGTGTTAAATTCATGATGACGTGACACAGACAATTTTCAATTTGCCGCCAAATCGTAAAACAAATGACAAATGAATGAAATATATACTCAGTAATATTGGCAAAGAGTTATATTTTCAAATTTTAGAATTATTTTTTTATTATATTGTTTATAAGTGGCCAGTTCTAAGAACTTTCAGTTTGACCCTCGTACATCTCATAAATTAAGTAAGGAAAGAACGCGACAAATTTTCTGCCCTTTGAACTTTAACCTCAACACATAACGAGAAATACATTAAGTTAGACTACACACATAAAGTTAGACTACATCTGCCAGCATGGTATCGCCTTTTTCCCCTATCCCTATCCTTTTCTGTCGCTCAGAACTGCTACGAGGGTCAAACTGAAAGTTCTTAGAACTGGCCACTTATAAACAATATAATAAAAAAATAATTCTAAAATTTGAAAATATAACTCTTTGCCAATAGATCTTTGCTAATGATAGAGACTGACAAAAGAGTGACCTATCAACAGATTCGGACAAGCTTAGGCATCGGTATGAGTCAAGTGCACAAAATCCTCCACGAACATTTAGCGGTCAGGAAGCTTTGCGCCCGGTGGATACCTCATAATTTGACTGAGGCTCAAAAACTCCATCGTGTGGATTGGTGTCGTAAAATGATTGAAAGATTTAACGGAGGTGACTCAAATGCTGTGTTCGACATACTAACAGGTGACGAAAGCTGGATTTACTGTTATGATCCTAAAACCAAAAGACAATCTGCTCAGTGGGTGTTTCCTTTCGAGGAGTTGCCAACTAAAGTGAAGAGAGATCGAAGTGCGGGAAAAAAAATGGTGGCCTCGTTCTTTGGAAGGATAGGTCATTTTGCAACAATTGTGTTAGAGGATCAAAAAACAGTTTCTGCAGAATGGTACACTACCAATTGTTTGCCACTTGTCTTGGAAAAAGTTCGAGAGAAACGACCTCGCAGTAGGATCCTCCTTCACCACGACAACGCCTCGTCGCACACCGCCAAGCGAACGATCGACTATTTGGCGACATCAAACGTTGAATTACTGGGTCACCCGCCGTATAGCCCCGGCCTCGCGCCTTGTGATTTTTATTTATTTCCAAAAATTAAAGAAAAACTTAAAGGAAAGCGGTTTATGAATGCTGAAGAAGCGGTGGCTGCGTATCGCGATGCCATTGAAGAGACCCCTAAGGACGAGTGGGCAAAGTGCTTTTCCCAGTGGTTCCATCGCATGCAGCGGTGTATTGACGTGAATGGACAATATTTTGAAAAGATATAATAAAACTAATAACTGGCTAATGTAATCAGTTTTTGATTTTCTAAGAACTTTCAGTTTGACCCTCGTATTTGCTAAAGCGGAAAAGATAACGGGTATGCAACAGCAAGCACCGGAATTCTTACTCGCACACACATTGCAAACACACTATCTAAATTAAACTACAGGTAGTTTAAAAAAACTTATACTTTCATTCATAATAATATTAATTACTTGCTTATTAACGAGTCTTTCATTTACAGATTACAAATATATCAAAGCAATTAGGTATATTGGATGTGTTGAAGACGAGAGCTGGCAATCTGTCTGGTGGTGAGAGGAAAAGATTAACTATTGCCTGTGAACTACTCGTGGACCCAAATGTGATGATACTCGATGAACCAACTAGGTAAATTAAAATCTGCATCTGCAATCGTTCCAGCCTAAATGATTAATTATAACATTTCCCTTTATTTCCCGAGATTTTCCACGGGGAAGCTTCAACCCTGAACAAGGGAAACATAATTAGACTTATGATTTTATTCATACAGCTTGAGCAATATTACAATGAGAAGGGACGATGACAGGGTAAAAAAAGAAATACTATTAAGTCAGTCGGTTACTATTTATTCAAATTTGATACGTATTTTTTTACATATACTATTTCGTTTCTGAAAGTGGATCGAAATCTGAAATTTTTTCTATCAAATATTTTTATATATCAACCAATTCTAGAGGTTCTTTTAATAGATCAGAGTCATTTAAAATTTGTAAAATTGAAGGCTGCAAAACACTGAAATTTGTAACAATTTCATTCATCGGAAAGAAACGTGATTTCGGTTGATTTATAATGTTAGCAACACTCGATAAAATAAATTCACTCTTGTTTTAAAATTGATAGCAGCTTTTTGTTTAGGATGTGTTGAAATGCTTTGATTATCGATTAACTTGAAAATGGATTATGGTCTTTAGTTGTCTTACTTTGATGAATTTTAAGCAGAACTTAAAAAAGAGTACTTTTCAAGTAAAATAAAATAATCAGGTACAATGTTAAAAAGATATTTCTGAACTAGCGGTCTCTTGGACCGGGGCCCCTTTAGGTCGGGGGTCCGTGGCATTTAGCCAGCCCTGCCACCCTATAATTACGCCAATGACTTCATGCGACATTTCAATTCAATTTATCGATTATGCAAAAAAATGCGTACTTAAATATAATCTACCCGACGGACAAAAATAAACATCATTTAGTCATCATACCTCGATAGGTCTTTTATACGATTATAAAAGCTTTAAAGGCATCTTCCAGAGTAGCTTCAATAATCTATTTTTTATACAATACATAATAACAGTAGCAGTAAAAATATTTCTTAGCAGCTGTCGCAAAATCCGGTATGCCGCCTTCGCGGTAATGAAGTGCCGTAGTGCTAAATATTACTCAATTATAAAATGGTTAAATTATTTCACAGTGGCTTGGATTCAGTTTCATCAATGTCAGTAGTTCGTGCTCTTCTCACTGTGGCCCGGAGTGGGAGAACAGTAGCATGCGTCATCCACCAACCGAGCTCGCAACTCTTCAATACTGCTGACGACATCCTGCTACTAGCTAACGGGCGCACGCTCTACTCCGGTGCTCTACTAGATATTCCCAACACACTAGCTAGAGCAGGGTTCGTATGCCCTCAGTACTACAACATGGCAGACTATAGTGAGTTTCACTATAACACATTTTGTAATTACTATATTTAAACCAGTCAGAGATCCCCTTTTTTTCGATAATTATGTTTTCGGCATCTTTTAGGCAAATATTTTGCACAGTTTTAATTAATATAATGTTACTAGACATAAAAACTGTAGCCTATCTCCCCGTTGCACAAAAGTCCATTAAGGTTTAAGCTCTAATGAAAGTGTTAAAATTTTATTTTTTCTACAAATGGATAAGAAAATATTCAATCATGGAAATTTTGTGGCGATAACACGATGGATCGTAATAATCCTCTTCCAAGCGGTTATTTAATTTTATGATCTCTTGTAAAGCAATATAATTTAAATTTCAGTGTTAGAAATCGCAAGTGGCGAACATGTTGGAAATATAGCACTCTTAGAATCTGAAGCTAAAAGTTATGCGTATGAGATGAAGAATGTTGCAAAAAGTGATGTGCACGAAGTCAATTCTAAAGGTAAGGTATATTTAAATGATTCTTTTTTTTAATTCGCCCTTCTTCCTTCTTCAATCTTTTAGGGATTGGTAGAATAATTCCGTCATTCCATATATTCCTGGATTGACACTAACTAAGATTCACTCTTGTCTATGAGGAACAGTTTAGATACCTTTTTTTGACGCTGAGATATGCGTTATGCATACCTGCTCTCCCATAATACGGGGTCGACAGGTTATGTGGGACTCTCCTCTGGCCCCAGAGTTGGGCTAGTCAAATTTAGATCTTAACCTTTATCTTTCGTTGCGTCAACTACACAATTTCTTATCTTATTTTAGTAAATGGTCTTTTATAAACTAGTAGAGGTATTCATTACACAAGTTCTACTTCTTACTACATCAATAAATCAATCAATACTTTTGGTTTATCTGACACTTATGGTAACCTAATTAGCAAAATTGTAATGGGTACTAACGAGTCAAGCCTTCTATCACCATTTTCATAGCAGTTTTGTCTTATTTCGCTAGCTGGAAATTTCGGTTTTTTATATAGGTACGCATATATAACATTGAAATTGTAAAATACGGTATATGATATAAGACAGTGCTTTCGTGATAGCACAGTAGATTTAAGTTAGGTATGACCCAGGTCAGACGCATCTACCTGCGTGGTACAACGCAGCAGATCTTATCCAGTAGACCCACAACACTTTGACTTTGCTCCTTCCAGGACTGGTCCAATCATATGATAATCCCTGACTTTCCCTGTTTAAAAAATGTTTTAATATATATTAAATTATAATCTAATAAATTAACTAACGACGCTTAAAATTCCAAGGTAAACATTAAGTTAGCATCTTATATTTCAGGATTGCCCGTAGAAACAGAAGCTCTCCTGAGAATTCATCAACCTCAGACGGACGGCTACATAGCAACTGTTTGGCAACAACTCGGAGCACTTCTTTGGCGATGCTGGTTATTAGCGCTCAGAGACGTCCATTTGACTCAAGTAATTAATAGATATTTCACAAAAACCTGTTTCATCTTATCATCATCGAAACTTAAATAGAAATCATGAGGCCGCTTTTTAGGTACGAAATGGTGCTAACAACGCAAATCTCATTCACTAATGTTGTTTTGTAAATTAAATTAACAGTACTGTTTATAGAAGGTATTACAGAAACACGACTTGGCCAGTTTTTTGTTATTAAAGCCGATTTTGTTATATCAAAGTTGTCAAATACAATAATTTTCCTAATGTAAGGTACTATTACTTTAGGAAATGATTCATTTTCACCCTTATTTCAGATATGTTTTTATCTCAGACCAAAGTTTTTATATTATAATATACTAGTTTTTGGTCGCGACTTCGCCCGCGTGGTCTAGTTTATAGTTCTCTAGTCTAGTCTAGTTAAAGCCAGAAATGAGATAATTCCATAAAGACTTTAATCCCCTAATTTAACCCCTTAGGAGTTGGATTTCGTAAAATCCCGTCTTAGTGAGCACAAAATTTGTAACTCCTAGCACTTGTAGTAACGAAGTTTTATACAAATTTTCAAAAATCCTCTCTTAGTGCTCCTCTACACTTCCAAAGGATTCTTCATTCCAAATTTCAACTTTCTACGCTCAGTAGTTTTGGCTGTACGTTATCTGTCAGTAAGTCAGTCCAGTAACGCAAAATTTTTATATATATAGATATAGCATTATAATAACACAAACCCCCTAATTTATTTATACTTATTACTTATGTCGGATGCCTAGTAGCGCTCGCTGCTATATGATAACGCCGCCTTTTGTACTGTTCTGTCTTCTGTTTTATTTTTTTGTGTCTAATAAAGTTTATGCTATATATCTATACCCGCAGATCCGTCTAGTAGCCCACTTGTTGGTGGCGCTGCTCCTCGGTGCGTTGTACAGCGGCGCGGGCGCAGACGCCGCACGTTTCCTCTCCAACACCGGCTGCCTGTTCTTTTTCCTACTCTTCATATTTTTCTCCAACGCTATGCCGCCCATTCACACTTGTAAGTACGTACTTATATGAAAATATTGATCTCTATCCCCATTTCCAACTGATTTATATTTAGAATCTTAAATCTTTAAAACTGCAGAAGCATAAGCTTTTTATTTAATCGAATAAACTGATAACCCACTATGAGGGCCCAGTTCAGATTGTTGAGTATTGAACGAACAAGACCAATCTCTAGTCATTCCTCTGCCAGATAACATGGCTCGGTCCATGCAAGAGGGTAATAAGGAGTGTTTTATCGGGTAGGCCAGTGGACGCGCGCCATCCCTTGCAGTTGGATAACCTCGGTTTAGTCGGCCTTCGTTCAGGCTTATAAAATGTTAAGAGTAGTTCCCTTCGGTATAAAAAAAGAGTCGGGACCAACGATCCTTACGATAAGTGCAACAACTCAAAATTTTTGGAAAAACCGACTCTTTCGTTCAAAAAAATCATGATTAGGAAAATGAGCTATGTATTTTTTTCTTACATGTTTTTTTATCGATTTTATTGATTGACTCTTTACACAAAACAAATATTACCTTTAATTACGATTACCTCAAAAGAAGCCAAACCAAGTTATTGCACTCGTAAGAACGGCTTACCGTGCAATAAAAGCATAGAAGAGCTCGATATAATAAATCTTCGGTCACCCATCCTATGACCCTGTCTTGTGAAAGATGCTTAGCCTCCGAATTGCAAACCACACGCACTTATAACTACGTCATCAAACTTCTCTTTTGAAACTTAAACCTATTACCTCTAATTCCCGTATTTGCTACACTTTAATATGACCGACAGCAATAAGAAACAAATTGAAATTGATTTATTATTTGACTAATGCAAATTTTCCATTTCCAGTTCCCGTAGAAGCTTCAGTCGTTATTCAGCAGCACTTGAACAAGTGGTATTCTTTGCCTGCGTACTGCGCATCGAAGATATTACTTGATTTACCTATACAGGTGAGATTGTTTTTAAAAACTATTTATTACTTAGTGGCGTATTTGAACAATTGTTTGCAAAATATAATAAACATGAATACGCAAACACGAGGAGAAATGCCGCTACAAGAAATGATCTATAAATTACATCAGACGTTAAGGGGGTTAACAGAATGTCAGAAAACATCACATTTTCTGACATTTTTGATATTTAAGTATATCAAAATTTCGTGTATTAGCATTAAATTGAGCCTTTTAAAAACCTTTTTAATATTTATATATAGCCTTTTTAAAACTGAAATTTAATGAAACGAAAACTAATTTCAGAAGTGTCGATGTAATTTCTTTTTTAGAGCAAAATTTTAAAATATACTGATCAGCGGTGAAAAGGACGGAAGGGGGTTAAAAATTATTAAATACATATTACGTAATGTATTACCCCTAAACCAAATATTAGTGCTAATAAGGGTTACGACTGGGTAAAAAAAGAAATTGTATTTCCGTCACTCAGATATTAGAAAAATATTAGATGGCTTCAATTTCATAAGCAATGGCTTATATAATAGGCATAAAAGTAACGAAGTGGGACTGGCTATGTGACGTACACAGCTATGTATAAAATGCACAAAGATGTGATGCGACGTTTTAATTCAATATATCGGCGTAATATATTGATTACGCAAAAACTAAAAAAAATAAGTGTTTATATTCTTAAATACTCTACAGACAAGACTACTCAAAAGTAGTCATAATCCCTATTATGTAATAAATAAATTTCTAAACTTACTAAAAAAATATTTCATATCGATTTCTTTAACATTACTACGTAGTCACATGTTAATAATATTTTATAGATACTTCTTTTAGAAATAATAAGTTAATTTCTGTTATAGTTATTTACAGTTTGAGAGGATTTAAAACTAAATTTTGTCAATCCAGTTTGCGCAATAGAGTTGATACTAAGATTAACATCTCTAACATAAAAGTCGTCTGAAAACCAAATCTAATAAGCCTTAAGAGGTTAAGACGCATCATCGTGTGTAGGTACTGTAATGGTGGAATCAGCGGCTCTGGATGGCGCCAAATAATATCCATCAAATCACTTATAAATAAATTCTAAGATAATGACTCTATGCTGGCCTCGATCAGAAAGGGATTATCCACCAGCAAAACACGAACACGCGTATTCGAACACGAAAAAGTAGGTAATAATTCAGAATATTAGCGGCTAGCATTCAGACCATAAATCGTCCGGAGAGTAAACCTATACTAGCAATGTGCAGGGCCTTTACAGTACCTTCTTCTTCGTTAGGTCGTTTTTTTTATTTAATTATTATTATCATTTTCAGTTGTTATGCGCAACAACATTCATGTTTCCGGCATGGTACTTAACCTCGCAACCACTAGACTTGCACCGGATGGGTTGCGCTTGGTGCATATGCATTCTTCTCATCATACTAGCCCAGACCTTCGGCTTAGTCGTAGGAGCAGCGTGTGATGTAAAGGTATTTGTTTTTATTTTATTATATGCATTTACGTACCTATATCTTGAAGGTCAACTTATCCAGTATATGCGGAGCTGGGACAGTTTAAGGACAAAACAAAAACCTTATTAATGTGACTATACTTTATTAAGTGTCTTTTTATTCCAAAAATTGATCTTTTTTGTATCACCTACTCTACTTATGATGATTATGGTAAACAGGAAAACCGAACAGAATTAGAACCTGATTAGAACAACATTAGTAAGCGTTATGTTCTGTTGGTGACTTGGCACAATCTAGGTAGTAATAAGAATATCCATTAAGGTAGTATCCATTTTAACTGATATAATTAATATTCGTTTTCAATAATTTTACTAGAATTTCATCCCGGAAGTACAATGGCGCGAAACCACAAACTATTTGCCAATGTCAAGTGATTAAATTAGTTAGATTAAAATAAATTAATTTCTACATGTAAAATGAAAATTAAATGAATGAAAGATGGCGATGAATCGTATCCACAAACTTTCTATCGCGAAAAAGATCAAAAATCAAAGTGACAGTGACAGATAGGGATGCCCGGAAGGAATTCGACAATTAGTACTGCCAGTAGTAGGTAGCGATATTTTTTCCGCGCAATCAGATCAATTTTTTAGTCTTTCCTAGGGTTGACTAACGTATACCTAATATTAAACACCCTGAATCCGCCCTTGCTATTAGTGTAAATGAAAACTTTTGACATAATAAATATTAATATCAAACTTTTCATATTTTTCAGTTGGGTTTGTTCGTGATTCCCGCTGCCAATATACCAATGTTGATGTTCTCCGAGTTCTTCATACCGTATCAAGAAATGCCTTCGTACCTGAGACCCTTCGCTGCCATCTCTTACTTCAGATATGCGTTCGACGCCTTCCTAGAGACCGTCTATGGATTCAACAGGAAACGATTGCCTTGCTCTAAAAGTTTTTGTATTTTCTCCAAACCCGATCAATATTTAGAACATTTAGGACTAGCGAGAAATTTTAACGGTGATATCGTTGCGTTATTGATATGGATTGTCTTGTTACAGATAACACTCATATGCGTTTTAATGTTCAGAGTTCATAAAGCCTGCAGATGATTACTCTATAAAAATACGCTAATGCAAAGGTTTCACATCAATTTATAGCTGATAGGTTTTGTATAGTTAATTAAATAAAAGTCTTATAATACTAAGGGTTTGTTGCACTTACTTTTAAGTCAGTTCTATCAGTTCCTGGGTATGTCAGTGGTTAGAGTAATCGCCCGGATTGCGAAGTCAAGGGTCCGACTCCTATCTCAGACTGCCATGGACAAAGTGGATTTTTAAGCATTTTTCACTAAGAATATTTTACAGTATATCGTTGTGAATGTAAAATTGATCAAGTGTAATAATTACAAACATTTTAAAGTACCGGTTAAGCAAATAAAATGAGTCATCATTTGTCTAAGGTTGGATGACGTCAAAACTTTAACTGTTAACTTTAACCGACCAAGCTTTGCTGGTTGAAGTTCGTTTTAATGTTCCAAGAAAGAGTGCAACACATTAACCTTAGGGTGGAGTCAAAAAGTCGTGACCAAGTCACATGAAGTTACAATTTGATTTAGGTGAAAATGGGTTAGATTAATTAAATTTCGAATGGATTTAAATAAATTCTATATTGTGACAAAAAATGTGTAATAATTTTAATTAGTGGTGCAATCAAGCCATAGCTGAGTAGGAAAATATACCACACATCGTGGATACTCTCTAAATTTTGGCCTATTAGTTAAGATAGATATAATGTTACTTATTCATAAATAATGCATCAATAAGACTCTAAACTATAGTTGATTTCTGTGCGATTTAAACGAAGTAAGACTATTCTAATATTCGTCTCTATTTAAAAACATTTATAATTAAGGTTTCTGACTGCAAAATAGGATAATTTGGCGTTTTTTTTTTTAAGCTATTTTGAACCTGTCTACATCTTAGTTAGTTAGACACTGCGAGTCCTTTTCCTGGACGCCGAGTGCAATTCCTGTTTTGGATTTATCAACATGTTAGATAAAAACATGTCATTTTAACTACCAATGTAAATAATGATCCTAGCTTCGAACTTAAGAATTATTCATTCTATAGGAGCCATTTTTAAATTTCGTCACACGTAGTTATTTCTGGACCCCCTCCCCATTGTAACAACACAGCTGGTCACATTGGCCCTTCTAGTGTTACGTTAGGTATATATTTTACACTAAGAAAGAAATTACAATGAGTCTTCTGGAATAGTTTTCTTTCTATTAAACTTCAGTTCTAAAATATTTTTAAGTAGTTCAAATTTAAAATGTTTTTGATTTAATGTTACACTTAGTTGGCCTTCTACGACCCTCTTGAGGTGTGACGAAATTTATAGCTAACTCCATAAGAATAAAATAAATCGAATAATTATAATTTTATATTCATTTTCAAACCCAAATAGGTGACAGGTTGATATATAAAACACATTCTTGACATTGCATTATATTACTTTAATAATCTCTGTACAATGACAATTATGAAATATAATGTGACAAAATATAATAATTATATACCATACAATTTGTTTTATTACAAATTTATTTGTTATAGGATACTGTTTGATATCCGTTAGGTATAAAATAACTTATACGCATGTGTACTAATAAAATAAGCAACAGATTACTATACTAACAGGAACATATTTATAATTATCTAGTTCTAAATTAAAACACTATGTATCACATTGTGCTAACAATAATATAAAGCATTACAATAGATAATTAATATATCTACATCTTCATGCCGGAATAAAACACTGAGCGTCACAGGACACATGTCGGTTTTTGCATTACTCACATTTCATTTGTTCGTCAACAAAATCGCTGGTTTATAACCTTTGCCATCTTGCTCTGATCACAGCAAAATCTACCCTACAAATCTATTAAAATAGGGTAAAATATTTTATGTACACTTATTAATGTGATGTTAATACTTTGTTGTTCTGACTATATTCCCTCAATTTGAGGGTAGAGATTAGTTTTGAAATATCTGAGTCAAGGCATAATCAAACCACCCCGCGAAGCCTTGTGAATCTCCACTGCGAGCCCGCTTCTATCTTTCCTAGCTATAATACAAATAAATAAATCTAGAATCGTGTGCGTGAGAATTCATAAAAATAGTTTTTTATCATTAACATTACATAAAAAATTGATATCAAATTTTCTTACTAAGCTATTTCAGTGCCTGGTATAAGAATAATAAAACAAAACAATTATTACTAGATAATACAATCAGAAAACATGATATTATAAAAGTCCATATTTATTATGTAGGACCTGCTTACAAATTTATGCAAAATACTTGATAATACAATTACATAAAAGTCAAAACATGCTCAAGCTCGATAGAATTGATCAAATACAACATTTCTCCAACATCCATTCCTTTATTGGTTATGAAAAGGGATTTCGTGTTCGTGTGCGTTACTAGCGATTTTACTCAATCGAAAAAAAATAGTTAATAAAATTTATCATATACACATAGGATGAACTTAAATAGGAGCCACCTCTGAAAACTAAGATTTAAGGAGATTTAAGTAAAGATTGAAAATTTCACATCAAAAGGACCTGGTTTTGTTTCTTGAGTCCCACCCCAAACTGGATTATGGCATTTTCTCTGTGCTACATTAACAAAATTATAAAAAGGACAAGAAAAATCGTTCTGCTGAAGCTCAAGAATCTTTGCAACGCTATTATAGGTTTCATACATATCGACGGTACATTTTTATCAGTAACGGAGCGTGCCCTAAACCTGGATTTCCAGGACCGTAAATAGGTTCATCATTGGACAAAACTTTGTTATAGTAAGTTCTTATTCTTATATTTTCGAAATATGAGATTCTCTGATTTCTCCGAAGAATTGCGAAAGTTTTAAATTGTACCCATCAATATCATTATTATGAGAGTAGGTAAACCTCATATTTCAATTGCTGCACTTTTTTACCCCAGACCTACACTTTTCCATTTCTTCTCTCTTTCTCTTCCTTCAAGCCAACACTCCTATTGTCACCAAACTGTCACTGTCACAAACGCGAGTCAATAAAATAAGACTAGAAAAACACGATCCAACATTCACTAATCACCTTTGTACACTTTTCGAGAGGTTTTAAAAGGCCTGATTTTAAGTCATTTAATACCAAGGTTAAGAGCTTTCTACTTCGGACAAATACTTCGGCCATCTCGATTCTTCTCGCTGTTTCCCCACAGCCATTTCAACTGAACAATCCTTCGAGCAATGTCAGTTACGTTAGTTCTCCTACGGATCTGTTAATTTCTTATTCGATTACGTAGAAAAACACCAAGCATTACTCTACTGTTCGTTGGGTGATATTGCGCCTTCTTAAGGGACCTATGAGTCGAACTTGATCGCTTCGGTAGGCAACACACGCTGTTCGAAGACCTTTGTTTAGAGACAGTACGGTAATTTAGACATGGATATATATTTCGTAGCTTCCCGAACGCTGCTCATCCCAGCTGGATCTCTTTCTCGAATTTGGATTTACCTAACTACGCTGTCTGTTCTAATCAGGTATACCATGGTCGACAACTTCAAGAGTCACTTTCCCAATTTTAACTGGAGCGTTTTACACCGCCGATATTTTGATTGAATCAAAGGCTTTCTCATATTCCACAAACACCAAGCAGAGTGGCAAATTATACTCTTTAATTTTTTGTATAACTTAAACGGAAAACGGAAACCAGCTTGTTCAGGAGATTGGAAGTCATAATAACTCTTAAATGTCTCAAAGAAGCGAGATCGATCTATAGTTCTTCAAGAATTTATTTTTACCCTTTTTGAAAAACAGGACAACCTCACTCCTTCTACATGTTTCTGGCTTATGGCGTAGAAGATAATAGAATTAAAGAGCATCTGGCGGACTTTAAGAATATATTAAGAATATATTTTCGGTGCAACGTTGGATAAACTTTGCTTAGGATTTAACCTGTTACCGTCTATTTATGCTACCGTCGACAAATTTAAGCCACGCGAAAGATTTGTTTATTGAGCAAAGCCTATCCAAGCGTTGTAACCTTTATTCCGCTCAATAGTCACTTTTACTATACACTCCGTACTAAATCGACGAAGGTAATTAATTTGTATTCTGTGATAAGAATGTATGTAATTTTTTATAATGTAACTACTATTGTGTGTAAAATTTATCTATTATATATAATTTACAAAAATAAAAGCATAATTGCCCCATTTGTAGCCTATCTATGTGGTACATATAACACTACAAATTTTCATTCATTGTACATTGTTGCCATGTCAGCTTAAACGAAAAATGAGAAAATTTCTTTGTTTGTTTTATACCTTAAAAATTATTTATAAGTGTAGTCATAATTATTTATTAACATTAAATATAATTAATACATTGCATCACATCAAGTCACTAAACAAACAACACTTATATTCGATAAGTAATATTTTCGACTCTAGAAACATTTTCGTCTTTTTCTAGTTTCTCATACACAAGTTTGTTCTATCACATTTAGATAACACTTAAAAGCCGATTGTGCCTACAAAAGAAATATATGAAATCATCCAAGAACTCACAATTGTCTTTGGTGTGAAAGTTATAATTCGCTAATTATACTTACTTATAATTTTGGAACTTAAAAAAAAATAATACTTGATTTTGAACAATATTGACAATGCACATTTCATAATTAAATGTTCTGCTCGAAACTATTAGAAACGCCATTGTGTTGAAGCCATTAATTGCACATCTTAATAAAATATATTCCTAATTTTTCTCCTTCCAATATTCGGTATGTCATTATGATGGTAACTCGTTTAAAGTTACTAATTTCCTGTAACAAATTACAGTAGTTTGAAATAATGTTAATTTAAGGTCTGTAATAATGATATTAATTATTAACATTTTACTACCTGCAATATTCAGGAGGCAAGGTACATATTTTATACCATAACAATATACTCAATGGCACACTCCATGTTCTAAGTGGGCCCAACAAAAACGCCATTGTTCCATATTCCAACCAGAAAAAATAAGCTAGAAGTAACTGAATGGACAGTAAAAATATAAATGGTAAATTCTTCAATAATCTTTTTATTCCTCTTACGTTGATGCTAAATAAACGTGTATCTAAACAGTAGGCCAGTACAAATATGAGAGGTATTTGAACAAACATTAACTGGACACTGCCATACATATATGTGAAAGGTTCTGGTAAAAATACACCCTTTATAATTATGCCCCAGGCAAAAATAACTCCCACATAACCATCTATTAATTCACCCACTGCCCAAGGGCCCAATGGCGTATACAGTGCATATAGGACTATTGGATAAAATAATCTGTCAATTTTACTAAGTAACCAAACACGACGATGTACATAGTTCCATATACTTCGACGATATCGTGGTGGATTTTTCTGGAGTCTCAATATGACTAGAGGCATAACATTGATAATTAGTAGTGTAGCAAATGTGCACTGAAACTGAAAAACCAAACCGAAAATATCAATATTACATACCAATTTGGGAGAAATAAATACCAAAAACTTATTGTAATTTAACTTACAACGGCACCAGCATCAAGCATCAATAATATCCTTGGTGTAACTTCAAAATTAACCAAAGTCCCATCTAAAGAAAATGGATGTTCTATGACCGCCGTCTTGCCATGTTCATCAGTTACAACTACAAATAAAATATGAATGCCAGTACTAAAAAGATTTGGCAGCCATTTACATACATAAAGAGGTCCATCAGCAACCCTGCATTTCATCCAACTGATTTTATCAAAAGAAATTTTTACAGTGTCAATATCAACATCACTAAAAGCAAGGATTCTTATGTGGGTGGAATCAGGAATCAACTGTATAGGCTCTCGCCCAGACATAGCATATCTCGCATGTTTTGGATTAGTCACTAAAACCAGAGGCCATGTGTTGTGCTTTTGATCCACAAAAGAAAAAAAACCATGATCAATTGCTGCTAATCGAAACATTCTGTTATCTTTCCAATCTCCAAGTTCAAGTTCCAAGTAGCCTTTTTTCTGTTTAGTATACATTCTGGGAACAAGACCGCCCATAGCATGCAAATGTCCACAGACATAAACTTGTGTTGGACGGCTGCTTCCAATTTGTTGCCGCAAATCAAAATTTTGACCATCTCTCTTCAAAGACAAAATGCATGATGTTGGATAATGGCCAAACCAAATTATATGATCAGCTTTATTTTCAGATTCAGCTTTTAATTTTTGTATGTTTTCTTGTTCTTTTACATCTAAAATACCAATAAAATTAAATGGTCTTCTAAGACCAGGCTCAGGACAAGCATCAATTCCCAAAAAAGCAACATTTACATCATTTTGATTTTCATAATGTACATATGATTTCACGTGAGTTGAACCTTGTACAGAATAATTTCGAAAATAATTTTCTTGTGAACTAAGGGTCTTGATATTAAAGTTATCTGAAAATTTAAAAAAAGCATATTAAGATTGTAAACATACCAGTTATTTAAGAAATGGTTCCCTATACATTTTCACAATACATTATTTTGGGATCTGCCCAATATATGTGATTTTATCAAATATTTATTTTTATTTTATGTGTGTGACATTTTCCAGCCATATTGAAGCCTTCTGAATCAAAACACATATACCCTATTATGTATTGTACAAATATTTATTTATTTATTAATAACTGTGTCAATACCACAGTTGTACAGCTCCATATCATTGTTAATTTAATATTATAAGATTACTTACATACTTAGCACCTACTTAATAATAAGCAAAATATTTTACCATGATTTCCTCTGATATCTAACCACACAGTTTCTTCTATAACACCTGACTCTTTTATTATATTATGGTAGTAAATCCATTCTTTTTGAACTTGAGAACTACCTAAATTGTCCTTAGCTTTTGCATCAGTCAAATCACCTGTGGCCAGTACCACAAGGGGTTTGATTTTTTTTACTGTGCTATCACAAAATTGCTGAAACTGTGTTATTCTGCCAGGATCTCGAAAAATACTTATATGAATGTCAGATATCTGAAAAGGTTAAGAAAAATACAGTGAATTTTATTTATCAGGGTTGGTGCAGGTCACACATAACTTGCATAATCCCTTGCATACCAATGCTTACTTCTATGAACCTCTTGCCAGATATTCCGTCATATTGCACCAACCACTAAATAAATTACATCATTTTAAAGTATTAAAGAAAACCCTGACAATATGTCAATAATTTATAACATAAATTCAACATTTTTGACTAATGTGACAATGGTTGGTCATGAAATGTCTATATTATATCAGATAGTTAACAATACAGGACAATAAACGTGTCGAAATGAGAACAAAGAACGAAACAATGAAGTTAAATAAAGTACTATTTGTAACGCATGTGATACTTACTTGAAGAAACCAAATTATATTCTTAGTAGTGTCAGTTATCTGACCATATTTTTTACTTAGATATCTTGTATGATTCATCCCTTCATTTTTATTTTCTAAGTAAAAATTGTGATCTGTAGCAATTATGTTCAATAAATTTGCCATAAATATAGACACTAAAAGTAATACACATACGAATGATATTGTAGCTTTTGAGAGAATCATCGGTATGATATTGGTGATATCGAGTTCCAAATCAATTAACTAAAATTTATCAAATCAACATGGATTTGCACAAAAAAACGAAGTAAACTAAAAATCCTGCGCCAAATACAAACACACAATGACAAACACAGATGACAAATAATTAACAAATAGTCAAATGTCAATGTCAAGTACAGTGTTGCCAAGAATTGCGTATTGTGTGTGTTCTTCACCGAATATTGGATGAGGTCAACGTCAACTTGGATAGTTCGGAAGTTGTAAGTCAAGCGCTTCTTAGACTTCTTATACACCAACAAATTGTATAAATTACAGAACACTGGAAGTCCTTTTCTTGCGTTGCTAACCGACTTGCTGAGAATATATAAGTATAATACTTGTACATCAGTGACATAAACAATATGTAAACTATAAAAAGTATAATATCTAGATATGTACGGTCGGCCAAGAAAGTGGTCTACCAGTTTTGACAACATTACCTGTGTCTTTAAAGCATCGCTAAAGGCGAATCTTAGAATTGCATACAAACAATAAAAGAGATGCATAATGCTGACGTGTTGTCGTAGAGCACAAATGTTATTTTGACCTTTGCAGCCTATGCATTAGATAATAATTTGCAACGACAAATAGTCTTCACAATATTTCATAAATTTAAAATTTAAGTAGGTCACTTCAAAGTGGAAACTATTTTGTTACGAAAACTCTTTTACTGAAAAAGAATATATCACTTGATAATTCGTGTCAAATATTTTCTCGGCATTTTCCGTAGGTATTTTCCTAATTAATTTACACTACAAAGCCCCGAAATTTATCCATTAACGAAAGAGTACAAATAATCGCATTACACAATGATGGTTTGAATATTAGTGAGATTTCTAGAGAATTAAATGTGTCGGTAAGTATTATTATGTCTGACGTGAGTTTAATGTAAAATCTCAGACCAAGTCCGAGTGTAAAATTTTTTTTTATTTTTTCTGTTCATATTTTATTTTTGATTATAAAGACAAGCTGTCCGTCTTTGGATAAGACGAGAAAGCGAGGAGGGGAATTTGAACGCTCGGAGTCGTAACGGTCGTAGACCTGAAATATCAGATACACAGCGAGTCTTCATGAGACGGAGTTATGAGGAATCTGGCTTTATACCAACACGTTATTTTGCCGACATATTTGACGTGACTCTCCAAACCATTAGAAACCATTTACATTACATGGGCTTACATCACAGGCGTTATGCAAAGAAAATTTATATGACTGACGCTCATAGAATGGCCAGATTAAATTTCGCCATATAATATTTGGATTTTGATTGGAGTAACACTGTTTTCTGTGACGAGAAAACTTTTAAATCCAGTCAACACGGGCGTCTACACCTTTGGCGATTCAATAAAACGCGATACACGCAAAATCATGTCGTGCCAAATAGAGAATCGGGTCGTATCTCGGTAAATTTATATGGATGGATGACTGCTGATGGTGTTGGAGACTTGACCTTTTTGCCACCACGAGTAACGGCATCAGATTATGTTGATGTTCTCCAAATTGCTATGTTGCCATCCGTCCGGAACGTTTATCCAGAAAATGAAATGCGTCAATTTAATTATTTACAGGATAACTGTCCCTTACATAAAGCAAGGGTAACACGTGCTTGGTTTTATGCACATCCGGAAATAAACTTGATACCATGGCCTGCAAAATCGCCAGATCTCAACCCTATTGCAAATATGTGGGGTCTTATGGTTCAGAGATGGTGTAACCGTAATGAACGAACAGCAGAAGCACTACAAGGGCACTGCAATGAGGTTTGGGAGGAAACACGTGGGTCTGATATCTGCTCAAGACTGGTGGGCTCCATGAGGGAACGTCTCCAAGCTGTTATAGAGGCAGATGGCGGCTACACAAGATTTTAAGAATTATAATTTTATAAAAGAATTGTATATATTTTTTAACAACCAAAGAATAAGCATTTTCACTATCTCTTCTAGTTTTAGCCCTTGTCTCGCACTAAGCTATGGGTCGGCGCAATATGTTTTTCGTCGCTATTCATTTCTGTTATCCGTTATCTCAGTATATTCAGACCTATAACACGCATAGCTTCTTACGCATAGCATTTCACTACCTACTGATTTTTTTATTTATATTAAAATATAATTAATCTACATTCTAATGTAGGATATTTGTAGACTATAAGACTTTATTAACGATATTCTAACTCTAAAGTATTTAAACATACAAACAGACAGACAGAAAAAAAAAATTTTTGGCTTCTATTAGTCTTATGAAGGCCGTCCATATATTTTTTTTCCAAAATATCTTACAAATGTAACCTTGTTACATTTTTATTATAGGTATAGATAATTACTGTCAAAGATAGATAATTACTGACGTGTACTTGACGTGTCAAAAAATCAATGCTACGGAAAATCAACCTTGTTGTTAGTTGACGTAACACGCGAAATTCAACCTTAGGGTGGTAGACCACTTTCTTGGCCGACTGTACATAAATTTCGCTACAAACATAACAAAAAAAAAACAAAATATAATTCACTATAAAAAGTCAGAAACCAAATCACTGGATACTGACGAAATCCACAAGGGCAACGCAAATAATTAAACATAAGAACACCAAACGGCAATATACTTAATCCTTTATTACATATATATTTTATTATATAAGTAATAAAATATAATATTTTGTGGATTTCGCTAGTACCTATGCAATAATTTTGTTTCTGACACCATTTCTATTGTGTTCCGAAATTCACAATAGTTAATTGACGAAAATATGACTAATAATCTTTTCAAAATTAAGTCCAAAATTATAAGACCTGAAAAAAATAGGAAGACATTCCTGCCGTAAATAAGTATACTAAAGTCATTTTGTTTTCAAGAATTACCTTTTTCAATTAAATTTCAGAAGAATTTAAACAAATCTCATATGTCGGCAACACTGACCACAGATATTGTTTAATATAAAGCAAAGGGATCTCGCACACATACAGCTTATACTCTATTCGATGAAGAATAAATGTAATCAAAGCAAATCAAAATATATATAACTCGTATTTCGCACCATGATACTTCACGCTACTTCGTAATTTTACGAGTAACATTTTTTACTGCCATAAATTACTAGACCAAAAATGGAAAATAGTAATAAAGATGAATTATTTTTAATTTTCAGCCCTATAATTTATAGAATTCAAATAGTTTGCAGTTTTAAACTAACTTCCAAATAAAGTTGTCAATTATTTTAAAACATATTTCTTCCGATTAATTACATATGACCCCCTTTCTACTGTTTAAAACAACAAAAGTTTTTTTACTTTCCCTATTATTGTGTCTGTCGCAGCTAACTAAAAAAGGTAAGCCCGTTTATTAAATGGCAAAATACAATTAAAAGGATTGTGAATTGATTGCATCATTTGTAAAACGCAAGTTTGTATGTTGAGAACATCATATTTCGTATATAGTGTTTTACCCATTGGAATAATGGAACGGAACCAAAGAACATATTCCTTGTTATGTTAAGACATTATAATGTGACAACGATTAGGTAATTTTCATAACAATACGCTGAATTCTACCTAAATTCTTATAATCTATACTAATATTATAAAGCTAAAGAGTTTGTTTGTTTGTTTGAACGCGCTAATCTCAGGAACTACTGGTTCGAATTGAAAAATTATTTTTGTGTTGAATAGACCATTTATCGAGGAAGGCTTTGGGCTATATAACATCACGCTGCAACTATTAGGAGCGAAGAAATAATGGAAAACGCGTAATAAATCGCTGGCGGCCACTATAATTTCATACACTACTATCTTGAAACCGAAAATAAATATTATCTGTCTGTCAGTGGTTGCTGAGCAACGGTTTGTTAGTAAATGATCTTCATCGAATTTATACACACAAATACAGATTATATGAAATGATCATTTTGATCACTACATGAAAAACCGCCACGCGATACGTTCGCGATACCATAAACAAAATCCCAAAGAGATAAGTATTATTATATATTATATATTATATACATTATTATATATTATATACATATATTATATATAATAATTTACTTTAACATGAATTTTGAATTGTCACGTGACTGTGCAGCTTGTATACGGGGATACCAGAATGGAAAAATTATTTTAAGATTGTGCACATGTTCAAAAATTGGGGACATCATTTTATGTGCGAACTATTAAGATTAGATTTTGCCGTAACCAAGTGAATAGTGAAAAATAACGCTTTGCCCTATATAATTTATTGAAATATCTTATAAAAATAAAAAATAAATCTTATATAAACTAAGAAAACTTAATGATAAACTCTATCATATGTCTGTGGAGTAATATAATTAAGCGAGGGAAAATGTTAAAAAAAAATATATAATTTTTGTATTAATTACATTAAGCCTAATTTTTTTTCTTACTTGTATCATTCCAATTGTGCAAATTAGTGATGCAACATAATATTAGTCGATAAAATAAGAGCTTTAAATTTTATGAAACAGTTAAATGTAATAACATTATAACATAATCATTACATTAATAAATTGATCATAGCCATGTTTTTTTCTTTATTGTTCTAAGTTTTATATCTGTAATAATAATAGTAAATCCTGTAGGATGTCCGTGGTGATCCGTGTTATTAAATGAAGCAATAAGTAAATATAAAATAAAATGTATTTGAATTAACTAAAATTGGTACAACGTAATTTTATGAAAAGAATGTTTTTTTTCACATCTCCATGACAACCTGATAACCATAGATACATATACAAATCTCAATACACCCCCTTATTAGGTAGTCACATAAAATACAATACCTAAAGAACAATTTATTCTCCAATGCATCATACATTTTAAAACAACAACAAAAAATATTATAACTTCTATCAATAAACTAAACACTATGATGCCCGGACACCTAAGCTGTCGACACATTTATAATGCTTAGCTTTAGGTAACGGCTTAGTTAAAATATCAGCTACCATGGAATCAGTGGGTACATGTCTCAGCTCAATTTGTTTTAAGAACATCCCTAATAAAGTGATACTTTATATCTATATGCTTTGAGCGCGCATGATAGACTGGATCTTGAGCTATGAATATCGCCCCCTGATTATCGGCATG